ATATAATACGTTCTACTTTAGAGGAAGGTTGCACACTATGTGTTTGTTCGCGAGAGGAAGAAAATGTGATCACAAATGCACATAACCTATATAATAGAGCAACACGTTGAACGAAGGCGAAATTACAATAATTATTACATACTTGGTCTTATATAACTTTCACCAGAAACACGAGGAATTAATTTGGAATCGTATGCCGGCAGTAATATAACTAACCGTGAACTTGAGTACGAAAGCGTGACGGGAGCCAGTATCCACATGTTTCCACCCGGCTGCTCCTCGTGTGTGGGATGACCATCAGCGATCCGCATCGACGAACAGGCCACGCCCTCGCGGCAACCGGCGAGGAATGGCAGTAAGAGAAAGTTACGGTAGGGTCATCGTGGGCCGGCTTCTCCGACCAACGGGCATCTCCCTGCTATAAGTGCAAACAACACAACCGTGTGTCCATCAATCAGCGCAGTTCGCTATAGCGTCGGATATCGAGAGCACCGAAATAACATTGACAGCAGGACTACAACGCTATCGGTAAGTACTCGACGTTTCGTTTCCGCGCGTATCGCTGTGCGTATACCACGATTAACGTATAAGACGAGTCGGAGAACCTGGTACTGGTTGGTTTCGATGGCGCAATATTATATGTAGTAATATAAAAGGAAATTATCAAGAGGTCATTGATGCTTTTTTGTTCAGGGCTCCTAATATGATAGACAAAGTTTACTGCATTTCGACAACACACACGCGTAGTATACGTACACGTAGTATTACATTATAATTATGTTTACTCAATTGTTCGAACGAAAATTGTGATGTAATCATAACGTTGAAGATGGACTACATTAATAGTTTTATACTTATTATCCTTATTATATCATTCGTTTGATAAAAATTAATATTAATGCATTTCCAGTCTTTAACTTCAACTAACAGTCTCCAACTTTACTGATGATCGAACGTTAATTATTCATCAGTGGTTACATTTTGAGATATTTGGCGGGCGATCTTTACGTAGTAAGACATCATATACATGGCGCTAGACTCTGATAGCGTTTAAGTTGTCATTGCACCGCCAATGCTAATATGACATCAGTAACCTTTGAGTTAGAATCTACTAACGTAGTTACCCCTCACAATAAGAATCCTCTACACATAGTCGTCAACGGAAAATAATTTTCGATGTTATCTATATATTCCCCGTAACACGCTTTCTCATTCTCTACGGTCTTGTGACACGTTACTGTTTTACCGTCAAGGCGAACGAAAAGCCAAGATACTGTTGTCGTTAGGAATATAGGAAGTGCAATAAAGTAAAAACTGGTATGGGCAACAATCGACTACCGTATAATAGCCGGGGGTGACGCCTGCCACTAAACTATACTTTCGAAGAAGACAGTCCCGACCGTCTTTTTGTCCTTTGCTTTATACTACCAGAATATCGCAGACGGGTTGATCTACACGTTAGTCATTCTTACATGTATCACAATGCGTCAGTCTAACTAGATGCTTCCTTGTTGCCGTAGAGCGTAGATTTACGAGAATATAATCGTCGTTTTGAGGACATTAGGGGACAATATCGAAGATGAGGGCGAAGAAAGAAAGTTCATGAACTGAGCGGTGGGATGGATATTTGCCCACATGTGATTACTTTCCCTCGGAGCCAAACGTTACATCCCATACTCGCGCGTACCGAAACGCGCAAGCTATACCATAGAAAACAAATGCCATCTTTGTACATTAATTTGTTTCACGGTTTATCTCGGCGATTTTCACTAGATCATGATGGCCCGGCGGCGAAATTTTTTTCCCCAAACGGTATAACATAGGAAGGATTTAGGCGCCTTCTGATTGGCTGGAATTTGGCAAGATGTCAGCTTCCAAGACTTGTAGCCAAAATCCCCAATTATCTACCAAAAACTTTCCCGAACTTTCTGTAAGTTAGGTTAAAGTAGTTTTTAGTATGTTTTCTTTAAAACAACATGGGTTTGAGTAAATTAACCCAAATATCATGCCGTTTCTTGACTGATTTGCTTTGACTAAAGAAAACCTTCAAGACAAGAGAACAAATGCCGTTTGTAAATGTTTGTTTTGGTTTATGACCGCTAGATAAGTATAAGTTTTCTGATGTATTTTCCATGAAAGACACATATTTTACTCATTATTATAACATATAATATTACTATAATCGAAGCAGCCAATCAGAAGGCGCTAAATTCTTCGCTATGTTATACCGTTTGGGAAAAAAAATTTCGCGGCCCGGCGAAACAAATGTCTAAAAACGAGATTCAAAAAGAGCAAGATTCTTCTAGAACAGTGACAATTTTTTTTTAACCCATGCGTAGATGCGTTTCCATCTGTTTATGAATGTAGCGGAAAAAACACAATGGTAATGGTTGCCAGTGCGCATAGATTACAACAAGGAACTGAAAAAAGCAATCACTCGAGCGTGTGTTAGAGTCAATATTTCTATTTGTTTAACAGATAGTTTTACTGAACCTGTTGTCATGGCTTACTTTTTTTGAGCGCAGCCGGATTCGGCACACTAAGTTAGAGTACCAAACAGTGTCACCTGCCGTGGTGATATCTGACTACAGGCACGGCAATCCTCGGAACGGATGCGCCGGGTCGCATGTGTGTCAGTGACCGCGCGCCTTAACGAGGAAGTATGAATCGCAGCCGAATAATGAACGCCTGCCCGTGCTGCCCTGAGGCTGGTTCTATAGAATGTATCCGAAAGTGAATATATGGATGCGCGTGCAGGCGTGACCGACGCGCCACGTCTGTGCGCAGGCACGGGTTGCTCTCGGGACGCTCCAGCCCGATAGTATCAGTCGCGCACGAACTATAGTAGATGGCGCTTTCACTCGCTTCTCCTTCACTCGAGTCGTAAAGCGAAAGTCTTCCGGGGTCACACGCCAAGAAAGCGTCGTTTGATTACATAATCGCTGCCTGCGCGGTTGCTCGCTACAGTGACTGGATAATTTCTCGTCTATTGTCGAGATTAGAGATAGGCTACGGTTAGCGCATTGTACTAGACGCTATTTTAGTCGATGCACCCTTGTAAATGGATGCGTGCTTTCTTTTGTTTTCGGCTTAGAAATTCGGTTTCTCTTTACAATGCCCCTTGAGCCTTTATTTTATCTGAACTGCGAGTACAATGACAAGAGCGAATAATTCTGCTCGTCTCTCGCTGTATCCGTGCACAGAGATGTAGGCATAGAGACGTCTGATAGACGTATCTTATTGTTTACACCACACATGCGCGCACGCACACGCACACACACGCACGTGGATCGTATTGTATACGCCACATACACACCTAGTCACGCGCGCACGCACATACGCACGCACGCACGCACGCACACACACACACACACACACACACACACACACACACACACAACTACACACACACTACACGCACATACACGTACCTACCGTGCACGCGGGCACACAGGGACGAACGGACACACACGCGCGCGCACGCACGTACAGACGCACGCACGATGTATATGCATAGGCATGCATCGTTGAATGCTTCTGGTTTGATAGTTGTCGTGTCTCTCAGTCTCTCTATTATATGATATTTGAAACGAGAAAGATTACAATTAAATTCAAGCGCTAGGAATATCGAACACATTGTACATGTGCTTCTAGGCATGCAGCTTTTCTAGGTCTGTCACGCACCTGTTTAGATACAGTCACTTCTGAATCGTTATCGAGACACAATTGGTTTGAAATGAACAAATATAATTATCCGGAACTAAACAGGATATATTATCCTATTGCTTTATGACGATTATTTCATCGGTGCTGCTCCCATGAGGTTATATAAAGCTTCTCTCAAACTGGAATACACACGTAGCTCACCTAGTTGTCTACTGTAGTGTGCCGGGCGCGTTTTTAATCGTACGTAAGCCCGTGTGTGTATTAACTTATTCCTGTTTTCTTTTCAGTTAAAGTGGGAATAGTGAGACGAGCCCCCAGTGAGTATGACTGCCACGTGGCTCACCTTACTGCTTCTGGTACGTGGAAAAATAAATATCCGTGTTTTAGTAACAAAATGGAGCGAAGAAACGAAAGCCGTTCGATAAGCGAAGCATTTCTTATTTACAGTTCCGTTTTATTTCAGACTTATAGTATTGGCATTACTGCTTGATGTAATGGCTAAACTGCAAAGTTTTTAACAGTTCTGGTTAACAGTTAAAGTTGCTCGATCAAGACAGTTCACTTTCGTTACCGCGTTGCGTAGATCTCGCGTTCTTACGCCGATCCTACATTACAGGCAGCTGCTGCCGCCGCCCAAACGACACACACGCCGTGGAACTATGGGACAGACACCGAACCCTACAATCCGGGAACTGATTACGTCGAAACAACTGTCGCGTCGACGGAGACAACCGCATCGGACGAGCGTCGCGACAATCCGAGCATCGGACTTGTCAACTCGGGTCCCGGCGTCGTGCAAGTCGTCGGCGGTGACAAGCCGACTTTACTGAATCCAAAGAGCGAGCAAACCGTGGGCGTCGACGCGGTACGCCCCAGGCCTCCAGCCGGGGTTGTGAAAGGTAGCGCAGTCGCCGTCAAGGTATCCGGATCGTTAGATCAAACCGTTTCGTACAATGTCGGAACAACTCGACAGGTCGGTCGCATATCGAAGACACGCGACGCGGGGCCGACGAAGAGGAACCCGTACGAGCGCTACCAGTTCACACAGACGGGAAGCCAGCGGGGCGTCCAGCAGGTAACCACGCAGACGACCCAGCAGCCAACACTGAAACCCCTAGATAAACCCGAGCAGGGGCGCTTTGCTGGCGTTGATCCGGGTACTAAGCTCGCATCGACAAGAATCGGTACGGGGATTGGCACGGAGCAGGATGACTCCGCAGCGTTAGTGAGTGGCGTTGCGTCTGCTATTCCGTTGGACAGCATCGCATTCAACGACAACGAGCCTCAGATTGTCGGTAACGCGGATAAGGTCACCGTTCAGGATTCGCCTTTAGCACGACCTGTTGGCAGCGGCTTTGCAGCTCTGCCCACGGCGTACGCGCGGCCCGCGTTTCAGCTGACGCCACAGGCAGCAGAAGGCGGCTTTTCGCTTCCAGCCGCCGGGAAAGCGCGCGCCAAGGAGACGGACAGAACGAGAGGATTCGGGGTCCCGTTTCAGTTTAAGCCGAAACCGTTGGACCTTCGTCCGTCCGTGTACGCATTTTCGCCAACCAAATCTACATCATTTGCGCAAGCGCAGCGCCCAAGCAGTACGCCGTTCGTAGCAGAGCAGCCGCTCGCGCGTACAACACAGACCACCACTACAACTCAGGCACCGACCACCGAATCACCGTCTGCTGAGCCAGAACCAACACTACAACTAGGCGCGTATTCCGGACCGCAAACCGACACGCCGCTCGTCACGCAGAGAATTCGTCAGCCGCTGAGAATCGAAAGCGATAACCTCTACCACCCCTACCTCGCCCCCGGCCACCGACCCTACAACTTCAGAGGCGTCTTTCAGAAATCGGAAGATCCCGAATATCCCGGTGCCGCCATACCTGTGATCGATAACAACTCAGGTAGTGACACCGAGACGCGAGCTGGGTCACAGTTCGTCGCCGATGCTGGACGACTGCCGCAGCAGAACTACGGCGACCAGCGCGGCGTCGTTTTCGGCTCGTACGAGCGCTCGCAAGCGCCGCTGCTGCAGCGACCATCGTCCAACATCGACGCCGTCGGAAACATCGGCGTTACCGTGAGAGACGGCCAGCGGCCGAACAACGTTCCCGAGCACATCCAGGAGTACAGCGCCGGCACGGGCGACGACAGAAACTCGGCGGGAGCTTCGCAGTCTATCGGCGTTGCGGTCAGGGAGCGACAGGAGCCAGCGCCCCAACCGATAAACGACTACCCTAGCCATGCCTACACAGCGCCAGCGATTACTGAGCAACAACAACAACAACAACAACAACAACAACAACAACAACAACAACAGCAGCAGCAGCAGCAGCAGGACAATGCTTACAACATGGGACAGTACACCGCCGGGCTGGCCGCTCCCGACAAAGCCGACGTACATCAAAATCCGCAGGACGTTCCGACAGACTCGCTTCCGCAAAGAACCAGAGCCAGTCTAAGTTTCGCTGCCGACCAGAACGGAAATCAGGCCGGAAGCTTCGTGCCGGACTGGAATTCTCCCGCCGACGCCTCGCAGAATCTCAACGAGGGCGTGTTCCCGCCGCAGCCGCACTACTGGAGCGTCGGCAACGCCGACGGCGGCAGCGCTCCGCCGCGCTACGACGACCAACTCGCCGACCGACAGGCGCCGGACGTGACCGATGACCAGCGCTACTACGCCGCCTACGGCGAGCAGAATGCAGCGCGCTTCAACCCCGGCCTCAACTCGCCCTACTACGAACCCGTCGATGCCGAACAGCCAGCCATGGATTTCCGCGGGTCGCAGTATCGCGCCAACCTAGGTCTGCCCGTCGGCGAAGCGCAGGAATCGATCAGAGTCGGTAATTCTCAAATGTACACGAACGTGGGCGCGCCGGTAGACAATGGGTTGCTATCGCAAAATGGTTATTTCGATAATCAGGGTGCGGCATCGCCCGATTTAGACACCGATTTCATCCCGCAAGGATTTTACTCGCTGGATGCACTAAAATCGGCCAACGGACAACTCTACGATGCCAACGTTGGTCTGACAGCGGGCCAGGGCCAGGGAAGAGCCGATAATGTCGATGCACGCTATTCCAGTAATATCGGTGTCAATGTTGACGAGGCGCGCCATCTATCGCCGATTGAAGGCGTTAGTTTGCCAGCAGAGGATACAAATCAACCGGAAAACCTTATTAACTACTCCGGCGTGTTGCAACAACGTCAAGATCTCATGCCAGCATTTGGGCGCGGAATGACTGCACACGTAGGAGTCTCTGCGCGCGACTACCAAGGCGCACAACAATTGCCAGAATTTCCTGCTAGTATAATACAGAATGCGGGTGACATAAGCCCGCGCCTTTCTTTCGACGGTACCGCGCAAGCCCAGCAGTTGCAGCGCCAGCAGCAGCAGATATCAGCCCTACTCGACCGGGAAGAGCATCAGCAGCAGGACTTCACGCAAACGGACCAAGCATACAACATCGACGTGCCTGTCAAGGATAAGCCGTACGTGTCGTTCAACACGGCAAAGCAGACGGCGAGCGTCGGCGTTCCGATTAACGAGAAACGACGCACCGTCCTAATAGGAAGTCACCCGGCCTATACGAACGTCGGCGTGCAAGTACAGGAGCGCAATTACCGGCCGAATGTACTCGAAGCTCAGGTTGCTGACAAAACGCCCATTGGACAGTTTCCGCAGAGCGGCGGAGCGAATGTAGGCGGACTGCAGAATTTGAACCAGCACGGAGCGGGAGCGGCGGCGCCTGAGTCTTACAAATACGTCGTTTCTTCTCAGCCGGATTTCTCGCCGACGGGCGCGATTCATAACGCGCAGATTCCCGTTAGAGATGGATCGCAGCCGCTGCAGCTTAACAGCCAACACAGGCCTACGTACAGCGTACAGATTTCACAGCCGACAGGGGCAGCGCGCGCGGGAGATGCGCGTGGCATTGTAAACCCGTACGTCGGCGCGCAAGAACCCGAGCCCGAGAAGGTGCAGGTGGGAAACTACGGCGCCTACACGAACGTCGGAGTTCCCGTTAAGGAGAAACCGCAATACCCGTCGCAGCAAGAGTCGCCGGGATACGGAACCGGATACGAAAGCCAGGAGGGAATATTCCAATCCGGTTATCAACAGGAAGGCAAAACTCCGTCGCGCCTCTCCGTCTACAACCCGCTTACCGGCGGCACGTACACGTACAACACTCAGGCGTACGGTGACAACCAGAGCGGTCCCACCGTACCGCTCGTCGTCGCCGCTGGTGGCTCGATCAACAACAACCCCAGCGTGACAAGCAGCGGCACCGGACAGGTCGTGCCTGTAAGCGGACCGGATAACGGATTCGGATCGTTCGACGAGCGGGGACTCTTCAATCCGTGGACGAAGAACAACGGCAAAGTTCCGTTGCCGCTCAACGCGCTCGTCGTCGGCGGCAAGGCGGGCGAATTCGATAAAGCGAGCGCGCCGACGCAGCAGATTCGAGAACGAGCCGAGGTCGGCGTCGCCGTACGCGACGCTGTTGACGCGTACGGCGCCGACCAGCGAGCCGACGAACCCTCTTACACCGAGTTCGACGCCGCCGACGGCAATCAGTTCGCAAACGCGAGAATCAGTAATTACTATTTCCCCTGGAGCACAACGACGAGGCGGCCTCAACTTGTTTCCAACAGCCGAGCGACTGCACAGCAACGGGCCGGGTTTCTAAACCCGTGGGACGACGGTCGCTCCAGTGCCGGCGCGCGGGTTTATGATGATGACAGACAGGGTAACGAGCAAGCACGGGGCGGTTCAACCCGGTATGCGACCACGCAGGCTACACCATCAACGACGGGCAGGGAGTCGTACGGTTATCAATTTACGACACAAACGCCGTATACTGGCGGCGGAGATGGGCCAACGATCGACGAAATGCTAACCGGTACGAACGCTTTTAAACTCGTAAAGTTTATCCAATAATTGTGCGTCATTTTTATTTATAATTTGTCACAGAAATTTTATCCGGCTGATGCCCGCGTACATCCTTCATGTGTGTTTCTTAAAACCTTATGTGTGCATAGCAATACGGCGGAATATTGCTGCATGGAATTAAATCATATTTATGATAATTATTTATTTAATTAAATAATTACTCATTCATTTTTATTCTGTTTATTCGTTTCATGACCGTACGTTGATAAACGCGAGAACATGAGCTTCATCCCTGCCTCCATCAGACACTGCCTAGTATTTACACCTTTTTTGCGTTTCTCTCTGCGGCGCCAGACATCGACGTTCAGTGCGACACGGAGCGGCGGGTCATGGCCGTCAACCTTCACTTCAAGCGTCAGTTCACGGGTCTCGTGTACGCGAGAGAGTACTTCAACACGCCGGGCTGCACGTCCGAGATCCTCACCAGTGCCGACCCCGTCGTCGAGTTCCCGCTCGACGGATGCGGAGTTCAGGAAGCGGGCGACGTCGTAAGTTAATTACGTTAATTATGATAATAACGTTAATTAATTCTGTCGATAACTCCAGACCGTGGATGCCGTGATGGGTTTTTAGGTAGACTGTTTTTGAAAAAAATGACAGTTTGACGGGGAATCACGCGAAGCCGTTGCAGTATAGGGTCATTTCAGGGGCGAGGTATGAATATTAGTGAGCATCGTTAGCATGGCCGATGATGCTCTATCATACTCGAACTGATAATCACCTTGTTCCTAGCGAAATTCATATACATATCAATCGAGTCTAATTAGTAAGATATATGCTTCTTTCACATGTAGTTAAGTAACTATAAGTTTATTTTGTCATTATATATATATATATGTTTGTATGTGTGTGTGTGTGTGTGTGTGTGTGTGTGTGTGTGTGTGTGTGTGGTTTGTGCGTGCGTGCGTGCGTGCGTGCGTGCGTGCGTGCGCGTGCGTGTGTGTGTGCGCGCGTGCGTGTGTGTGTGTGTGCGCGCGTGTGCGTGCGTGCTTGCGTGCGGGTGGGCGTGTGCGTGTGTGTGTGTGTGTGTGTGTGTGTGTAGCCTGATGTTTTGTAAGACGAATCGCAATTACAGTGACGTAATCCCTTTAATCATAATCGATAGTCCATTATCAATAGTCCATTATCAGTTATTTCACGTATGTGTGCGCGTGTATTTTCAGTATGATACCGGTACTGCGCATCAGGCGTTCGCTAACACCATCGTCGTGATGAACGATCGGCAGTCAGGTGTTCTGGGTCCTTCAGACAGAGCTTACACCGTGTCATGCTCCACACCAATAATACACGCAAACAACGTCGCAGTGCAAACCGGTGTCGCGTGAGTATTCTACAGATATATTTGGCTCGTAATTATTTAGGTCAATGAGCTAACTTAGGTTTATTGATTGGCATTTAACGCGAGACGCTATTGACGCGACACGATTTCTTTCGTCGATACTCAGCATACCGCGAGGTGGCAGCAGTGTACGAAAGGGCGTTTCATGATAATCGCATTCATGCGTGTCTGTTGAAGCATCTCTTTGACCTAGTACAATATACCGACGGCGTATTGCAAGCAACGTTTTACGCGTCATTGCGAAAAAATGTCGTCTGGGATGGTTCCAATTGAGCCAGATAATAGTTAACATCCGTTGCAAACCCGACATTCGAAAACCGGAGTCTAACATGTGACACGGATTTTTTGCGCAGTTCCCAAGACAGCAAATTTAGCTTTTAATTCTGCGTTGATATATTTAGCGTTTCTATATTTTATCAAATATACCATACTAAGATACATGTGTGTCCGTAAACAGGCATATTCAAGGCGGTGCGTTTGAAACATCCCCTGTCCCACTGCCGGATATATACCTCAAGGTAGTGGCAGGCAAAGATCCACGTTCTTCGCCTAGCTCTACACTGGTGGTTGGCGAACTAGCATCCATCGTCGTTCACTACAAGGATACTGGTAAGAGTGTGCTGATTGGAAATGTTCTCGCTATTAATAAATACGTTCCAGATGGCAGGTCCAGACAGAGTCTCTAAATGTTAAAGCTACTGCTGAAAACTACGCACGGCGGGCGTGCATGAACTATGGTCGTATAACTTCTGGGTGGTATAGAAGTAACACAGTTATGACTCTTTCGTTCTCAGATACGATGAATAGGGACGAATCTCGTTTAATCTCAAACTTTATTATCTTATATACTGTTTTATGTAAAACTACATGTAGCGTATTAAAATCTTCATTTTGTCGCATAGGAAACTGGGATATCTGGGTAACGGACTGTTACGCCCACAGTGGTACTCCTCTAGGCAAGGTGAACCTAATAGACACGGACGGGTATGTATCTCTCTCTCTCTCTCTCTCTCTCTCTCTCTCTCTCTCTCTCTCTTAAAAAAAAAATTGCAAAAAATTGTACATTTGTAATTTGTCATTATTAACCCCAGATATTAGTAATGACTTTTCGTTTAGTTACGATGTGAAAAACTCTCAGCTAGTTTTGTAGCTACACATTATCGAATCGCATAATGTGCGTGCGTGGCGAATGACGCAAGTTCCTGTCGAATTAGAAACGTTGATGTCGAGATATCAGCGTGCGCATTTAGTCCCAAAGTTAAAGATCACTTTTGCAGTGAATGTTCGATGCGGGAGCTATATTTTCCTCGCATTTCTTTATGTATATTCAACAATCTCGAAGCTGTAATAAATAAAAACGACAAATCCTATTGGTAATTATGTGTTGTTTTATGTGTAGATGTCAGCCCTTTTTTATGGGTGATGAAAAAATGGGAATATATATATATATATATATATATATATATAATTACTAGCCTAAACATCGTATGTTAATAATAGTATGTTAATTTCATTTAGCAATGTCAAATTCATCGCTTCGCATATAACGGTATTAATCAAATTATACAAATTATAATTCAAGTATTTCTTGCAGTACATAGACACGGAAAAGTTTGGTCCCCGGCTTAGGATTTTTTGTTTAGTAAAGTGTATTTACGAAGTATGGTGTACAAACATAACACTGTTAACACGATAGCATTTAATCATGATAATTATCCCTTTGCTGACAGGTGTCCCATTAATAAACAACTCATCGGAGCGTTCAACAAGAATCCGCGTTACAACAACAATGGCGAAACATACGTTTACGCGGTGTTCAAGAGCTTCAAATTCCCCGACAAGGACAACGTGTATTTCGAGTGCAACGTCAACGTCTGTAAAAACAAGTGTAGACCGGTAAGGATCTTTATAGTGTTGTCTTTGTGTCACTGTATGAACGCGTTACGTGATCCGTATACGAACACGCTGTACTCTATGCATGCTTTCTCTAAGCGTAGTTCACGACGCTGTGAAATCGCTCGGCGTGATATATAATCTCCCCGCGAAAATATCATTGTTGGATGCAAGAGGGTACTGACGTTATATCTCAATGTAATGCGAAATTCGCTCGCATCAATTTAGGTTTTGTTAACGTTACGCAAAAACGCACATTTCTATTCAGCCATAAGCCTAATATGAATTTTAGATATTGCTTTTACGACAACAATGACACGAGCAATATGTTTGCAGCGGACGTGCGACGACGAAAGCAGAAGCAGGCGAAAGAGATCGACAGATGAGGCGCAATCGGATGTAACCAAAATTACCAATGTCTACAGAGGCCTCAAAATCATTCTTCCCGGCGAGCATATAGACGGACAGTTTCCGATAGGTGAGGAAAGTTGATGATCACGTTGTGTGTTCATGGTATATTGCACTCGTATCTCTCGTCAAGCCCATATATGCTTGTAGTAATATCGACGTTAAATCGCATGCGTAGTTTGGAGCAAACTCGGGTTTTTAGTTATTATCTATTAGTACATACCGACGAACACGGGGGATGACGTATAAACAACCAAAAGGTTGCCATATTGGCAGGTGCTTATGAACTGTGCAATGAAAGCGAAATGAGCAATAGTTTATGTGCTTATATCCCCGTGGCTACGAAAACGGCTACACTAACGACTTCATTTTAGAAGACCGCTTTCACGGCAAAAATGTAGGTCCTACTCATAATAATTGTATACATTATGATAACCGAACACGAACGCAAACGTAACGCTAACCATATTGAGGTCAGATCCTATATTAAAATTATGACACTGTACGACAACTAAACTTTACACAAAGATCAATGAGCGATAAAATATTTATCGTGCAATACAGGAAGTTTCAAATTAAGATCAAGGTTCATTGCATGCGCCTAAAGTTATAACCACCATCTTGTAATAGATTTTCATTCTTGTTGCTTACGTTACAGGTATGAACGCGCCGGGATACAGTCGCCAGAATTCGCGATGCATATCAAAGTCGACATTGGCCATCTCTCTGACGCTGATGCTCCTCCTACTCTTGGTATTTGTAAGTGTGGCATTCTTCCTGGGCATGCGCAGAAAGTATAGGCAAGGCGCCCCAAATATGCACGAGATGTTTGAAATGCCAACCATTCACCATAAGCCTTAGGAAAGAACGCGTATCATTGTAGCAACACAATGGTTGTCATCGCCGCCTGCAAGTTGTCGACGTTGTCGTGGCAACGTCATCCGGCAGTAGATGTGCATTTTGTTACCGCTTTCGTTTTGTTCACACTCGGAGTGGCATGTTAGATCAGCTGTACGGGCGTGTGCGGTAGCCGGATATCTAGGCCTACTTCAAGCGTGTGCAATGTTAGCGGGGGCCGCACGCGTGGCGCGGTACTTGGACACGCGTTCAGTGCGAATTACGTTCGAACAATTTTGTAAATAGGTATAGTTGCGTAAATTACGAAATATCAAAACGCCCTGTCGGAATACGTCCCATATTGCAGATTAAGCTTATAACGAGCGTATTTATTCATATATTTGCTTCCACGGCACATTGCTAACTTCAAGCGTCAACACAAGACGTTTCGATCTTAACGTTTAATCGTCGAAAATTCTCTCACGAATGAATCTCAATTGTCATTGCAATTACCATTGTAATATAAAATAACTATTGCAATTACTGACGATGGGGGAATGCCATAGCTCTACCAGCCTTTTCGACCGATGTCACTCATTTAACGAGACCTCCATATCCCCCCCACCCCACACGTACCTGCGTTAGATATATCACCCCTAAATTACAACTTGCAGCGATTTACTAAGTAAGAATACCTCTGACCAACAAATTAAGCGTGCAACGTCGGAATTAGTTGGCAGATGCTTGAGCTAAGTAGCGAGTGAATTACAAAAGATTTTCTCTAAAAAGTACAAGAAGATTTAGTCAATACGTGTGCTTGTTGCATCGTGCCCATTCGCCGCGTGGGTGTGTGAAATGTGTGTATGGCCTCGTAATTTTTATATACTAATTAAACTAACGAATATATTTTAAATGTTGTTGTTAAATATCCCCTGTATTTGTCAGTATTATAATACTACGATTTCATATGGCCTATCGTGTGGTATTATTAGTTTTATAAGATTGTTGTTTATATGCGTCGCGCTGTGTGTAAAGCGATACTGTTCTAATGTGTTATGATTGTGTTGATACATAATTAATCACAGTTTTATATCATTATAGCTACTGTAAAATACAAGCATGTAATAAGTATCAAACCCTCTTTATAACAATTTGAACACATTATCTTATGTTTATTGTTATGATATAAACCCCACCGGGATTCCCCACTATCAAATGTGGCTATTGTACACATAATTACATTTCACATGTTAAAGTTATAGAAATTATATAAATCGACTAAATTATATTTTTATTACGATTAACTCATATGGATAGGATAACTTAGCGATCACATGTTGCGAAGTTAGATGCTGTTATTTGTATCCAATGCTTGTTAAGGATTACTGTTTTTATCATTTATAGTCGGTATAAACGCACACGTTAGTAGCAAAAAATTATTTTGGTAAGCTCAGAGATTATATGGCCGATATAACTTATAAGCTATATTCTCCTTGTTAGTTACTCAGGAGCGTAGCGGCTTTTCGTAATGCGATTATTTTCTGTAATTGCAACGTACAGTTTGTAGGATTCACACAAAATCCTTAACAGTCTTGAGGTGTTTTCAGGTTTCCTGTGTTATAAACATTGCTGGAATGGAAGCGGGCTGAGCTACGCTCAGCTGAAAATGTGCAAACACTTGCGTGTGCAATTCATGTTTAATTATTATCAAGAGTTCATAATTGAACATTTCTATTATGGACTCTTGATTATTATATATGCATTTTGCCAATGAATGATGGCATGATCACTATTGTAACACATATTTAATATACATCACTGCCTCCACGATACAATACACCTGTCGACGTAATTGTGAAGTGACTGAAAATTTGTAATAAATGAACTGCAATCGACCGTATAGGCATCTCTAATAGTCTAGCGTATCTCGTGAATGCACACCTGTCGTCTCTATTTCGTTCTAATGATCGAGCAGGCACTCGAGGTCTCGTCGACGACTCCTGCCCTCCTACCAGCTACGTCTCATTCATGTCGTCGCCAATCGGAATCGCTGCTGCTGCTGCTAACGCCTTTCGACACGAGAGTTCAAAAAGAAGCGTGACCGCCGCCGACGACGCAGAGATGCTAGCGGCGAGACGGACCGGTGCGCAGTAACGGTGCCAATGACCTCTGCTAATGTTGCAGCAGCAGTAGCAGCAGCAGCCTCGCCGCCCACAAAAGAGGGCAGTTGCCGAGCAGAAAAGCGCGGCGAGCGGGCGAATGCGATGTGACCCAGTAATACCCCGGAAGACGGCGCGCCGAGCGATCCGTGCCATGGCCTTTTACACTTTTAGCCTGGCCGCTCAATGGAGCCGCAGTCGCGCGGATGTCGGTGAGCGGCAGTCGTTGCTCCACTTCGTAGAGTTGAATGATCATAGGTTCTGCTTCATAGACCGGCGGCTGCGAGGCGTCTGCGTCAGTCGCGCGTACGTCTGCGCGCCGGCGTCGTCGCCCGTCGTCTCGCGACTCACCTGGCAAGCAGCTATACCGCCGGAGCATCGGCCGTACCTCCTTCTCGTCGCTGCCGCCGTCGTCGTTGTTGTTTATCACTCGTGGACGGACGGACGGACCCGCGCGCGGATAATCTGACACGAGGCGAGCTTCTACTCCTATCGTGAACGCGGGAGGCGGCGTCTGGCGACTAGGACTAGCCGTCGTTAGCGCCTAGGTATACGGTTTTAGGCGTAAATGGTTTTGTTGTGTGTGTGTGTATGTGTGCGTGTTAGTGAGATTCGATGGGTGGAAGCGTTCCGTATCGAAATCCGATTCGTATATCTGCTCTCTGTGCGTGCTGGTTATTCGCGTGCGTGTAACAGACTCCGTTTTGCATCGGCGCTTGGAATATGCGATGCAGTATGTCACTGCGGTAATGAGTTTTGCATTCTGCGAGAGTTGAGGGTTGGAACAGGCGTCACCACCAATCGTCATCGCGTGCGATCGTCTGCTTATACTCTCGTGCCTTGCGTTGTCTCTATTTCTGACATTTGCACGTGTAGAGCAATACGAGGTGAGAGTGCAGACACGTACGATGATGCTTCGGAGAGACAGAGGGTGAGAGAGTGCACGAGAACGAGATAGAGGCGGAAAGGGAGAGAGAGGGTAAGATAGAAAGTGCGAGAGAGAAGAAGAGAGCGGGAGTATGCGAGCGAGAGTATGCGAGCGAGCGAACGAGCAAGCGAGAGGGAGAGAGAGGGAGAGAGAGAGATAGAGAGAGATAGATAGAGACCGACAAACAGGCAGGCAGGCAGACAGACAGGAAGGCAGATAGGCAGACAGACAGATAGACAGACAGACACGCAGAGAGACAGACCGACAGACTGACTGACAGAACGCAGGAACTCACACTGGGACGACTGTCAAGCAAGAATGATCGCAGTCTCACGCGTCTACCAGGAAGGAGAAACACATGTTTTTGCTCATATTAAAAATATGGCCTATATTCCTAGTAATCTATAGGCCATATTTTTAGTAGGTCCAAATTCACGGTTTACCGCCAGCATCACTCGACAGTGAAGACCGCTCTGGGAATGTCCACATCTGCAGTAACAATAGTGCCCGGTGTTGAAAACTAGTGATACTGATATTGGATTAACATCCGCTGGCAACCACTAATTTAAAGCAATTGTGTTGAATAATGCGAGGACAGTCGTTCTATAGCATGAAACCTATAAACGGTCACCATTTACTGTGATTAGATATACTTGCTAAGGGTTACAACTTACTAGTCACGCAATATATCATGTTTTAAATGGGGTTCATTCATATAAACGTAGACTAGACCACAAAGACAGGCGCTGTGTCCCACTCTACTTGACATTCGAAATATAATTGTCCTAATATACATCTCATCATCCCAACAACTATGGTACTAAATAAATATCGGATTTCGTAGCTATACAGAGAGTTTTGCGAACGAAGTGGTTGTCATATTACGTAAAAAGAACGGCGCGCGATATACGCAGACGATAATTCTAGTGCAAGTCGAAACTCCCGCAGTTTCAATAGTAGCATGCAAATTATTTCCGGTAACTATATGTACCTAATCTCTATAATAGGCGAATAACAATCATGGTTGAGTTTCACATATCGGAGCGCCGAGAGCTAATGTACTGTCATTCTATTCCATTTCATATGGAGTCGGGCTCGCATCATTGGGAACTGCTCATTATTTCCCGCGTTGTTGGGTTCAATTGGCGGTCAGTTTTGTATTCAGTGAGCTTACCAGTTTAGACCAAGGTAAAGTGTCTCTTATTATTCTCATCGCTTGCGCCAATCCAAAATCTTTGAAATCTCGAATCTGTTGGCATGATATTAATGGGCTAAATTACTAAGTTGTTAGATTGATCGAGAAATGCTATCAATTAATTAAAAGGAATAATGATCACATCGTGTTATCAACATCAAGAATAAAATTATGCAGCAACGTAGAACCAACAGGCTAATGACGTTTCTGCAACTTGGAATGCCTAGAATTACGACGGAGAGAGATACGATCATAAATTTTGTATAGAAATGTATAAAATTGAATAACAGACATGGTATGTCATGTAATAATAAATACCCCTTTGTTATATATACTAGTTTCTCTTGAAATATATTGTGAGTCAATACCAACAAGGAGTTCATCCAGATTACTTCTCGATCTCAGAATCTCCAGATATTCCTGTTGCGCGGTCGTTTCTATGGCGGCTGATCTGCGTCCGACATCTGATATAACAGACGAGATGCGATTAAATCCACGATTTTGTTTCCCTTTATCACAAGAACTTAGTATCGATGACTTGTAAAAACTACAACACGTTATAACCTTTAAGCGTTTTCATTATCCTCTACTTCTTCGCTCTTCCGTGTCTTGTTTCGCTCTGTCTCTCACACACACTTGCGTGCGCTCTTTCCCCTCTCTCCCAATCCTTGAATACTATAAATACTGAACAACGAATCGTTATTGCATTTACCTGCCATAGAAACTATGATTAAATAAATAAATAAATAATTGTAAAAAATTAAAAAATTATCAATTAATTAATTAAATAAATAAATATTAGTATGTAAACATATAAGCGCCCATAGTGCTACATTATGACATTGCGGTATTAAATCGGACTTCTAACCGCCCCCACCTCACCTCTGCAAATAAGCACGCACGCAAACAAATTTTACCACAGTAAAGATGAGAGTGAGTGAGTTATACTGAAGTAAAAACAAATGACGAATATTGTTAGAAGGAAATGGGGGAGTGCATTTCGAGTTTCACAGGTAAAATACGCCATTTCCCTGTTCCCTGTTAATTAATATCGCAATTCCGGCTTTCCCGCGTCCCGGTTGGCTTCTATTCCTGAATCACGAATATTTATATAGTTTCCAGTTCCTGGTTCCCAGATAATTAAAATCTCCAGATAATCTGGCGTTCCAAATATAACCTTCCCCGTATTTGCTGCTAAATCGAGTGTTTGCCGGCAGCTGTGATACGTAGTCATAACATTAACGTAAAGGAAAACAAAACAGAAATGCTAATACTCGCGTAGTCAGTAGTAGTCGCAGTCCTACACAAGTCATAATATAGAGGTCAAGGACAGGTTTTTTATTTATTGCTTATGTGGCTATGAAATAGACAATGACAATAATACGAAACTCTAAATATCAAAAGATATATGATACTGAGCGGAAAATAAACTTTTCAATTGTTTCCAACATGCGCTCGCAGTTGGACTGTTATCGGAACGCAATTTCTAAAAATCTGCGCATAACCCGTGCATTCATTAATGCTTTTACTAATTCTGTTAATCGATAAACGTCTAATAAGGTGTGACAATTCTTCACATTAAGTTCATAACGAATGCACACACGGAGATTCTAACTCAGATAAGTGCCTCTTAAGAATGTTCAAATATGCATCGTATCATATTGCTTTTTTACCACTTGAGCGCATGTTTGTCAATACCTATACTCTAGACCGAAAATAAATATTTTATCCATTGCTAAATATACACATCAATGGCTGGTTTTGTATGCGCAGGAATAACTACGCCAGAACAAACTTTAAAAAAATTAAATAAATCTCATGATGTGCTGAGATTGGCGGAGAGTTCGTCCATCATCGCCCCCATGCCTGCGCGGAGTTCCGTTCATTCTACCTGCTTATCCTTATCCTTATCCTTATCATTATTATGATATTATGCTTATCCTTATCCTTATCCTTATCCTTATCTTTGCCTTATCTTTATCCTTATCTTTATCCTTACACTTATCCTTATCCTTATTATCTTTATCGCGCTTTCACCTGCCGAGTGCTTGTCTGCACGTCGCTCGCTAGCTCGTCGAGCGTCTCTTCGTCGACCGACACGCTCTCAGGAGATATACGTGACAGCAGGCGGGTTACGTTTCGTCACACAGCTCACAGCTGGTTATCAGTGTCGGCAGAACGCGGGAGTCTGCCGATATAGTCGATCCCGCTGAGCTCGTATAAGTCCGTGATTGCTTCCGTAACTGCCCATGCCTCTAGAGTAACGTCTCACTCGATCTGCATCTTAAGTGATTCATGCCGCGGCTGCTGCTGCTCGGTGGTGGCGATCGACGTTCGTCAGCGCCCGATAGGTGTTTGCCAATGATCTTCGACGCCAGCATTACTCATCGTCGTCGTCGTGACGTCGTTAGGTAATCCGACTGCACGCTGCACTTCAGCCTGCGTCCGGTATTAATTTCATTCAGTCGAGCGACCGCACCGCGCACAGTGCCAAGCGACCACCTGCATGATCTGGGTGCTCGTTCATCGCTGTCAGATTGACCTCGATTTGGCGTTCAATCTTCTCTAGGCTGGTCGTCTTGTACACGAGCGCGAAACGACTACATCTGCGCACTGATCGCTTC